CCACAGTGCTCTACACCCAATGCATACCGGTACTACCATGAAAGACACCCCGTCAGTTAATGAGTCACACCTCCTAAAATACCCCCTATGACATCATACCGTAGAGCTAGGTCTAATTAGTCTGGCAATACCTAGAAGTTTCCAGAACATCATCATTCCATTTCAGAACACATTCCCACACAGTGAATCTTATTAACATCACACCCACCACTTTAAAAGCACTTATGTCGCCGAAAGGCACTTCAACACCACTTAGTCATTAATCCAATTAAATATGACAACTGGCCCACTTCAAAACCACTTCACATCTCAAGTGGCCACTTCATTCCCACTCATCCAATTAATAAAAGGTCATATGTTAATCCAATTAAATATGACAACTGGCCCACTTCAAAACCACTTCACATCTCAAGTGGCCACTTCATTCCCACTCATCCAATTAAAAGGTCATATGGCCACTTAATTAACAACCACAGAGTTCAAGTACCCATTCATAAGGTCAAGTGGGTTCAACTTTGGCCCAGAACCCGCTTGGTCCATATATCTACTACTGACAAGCCGCTGATCCGGTTTGAACCAGGCCAGGGAGTAGTACAATACCGGGAGGTGACATGGGCACACATCAGGCGGGCGCGGGCGAGCTTTGCCTCAGGTCACTTTTCTGTGGAGCGCTGTGTCCCGGGAAACGTCACGAACTGTCGTACTTCGCGTACCATTTTTTATTTTATTTTTTATTTATTTTTTTAACTTGGTAAACCGGCCTCTTGTACGGGCAGAATTTAGTAACACAGTGATACAATAAAAACAAGTACCAGTAGTTACATACATGGACCATACGAGAAAAAGCAATGATGACGAGGCATAAACAAGTGTCTAGTGCTGTATGGCAGCTTCCGAGACAGCGAGTCGAGCGGATGACTCAGCCACCTCCGGGTGCGAATACAGCCGTCGTGCACCACGCAGGCAAGCCACGCCTGCACGGAGAAGGGCGAAGCTGAACCTGCAGCGGATCCATGCCATCACTGCAGAGTATGGCTCACCAGATTTGTCGGAGACCATTGCAGCTATTCTCTTGAGGAGAGCGGCAGCAGCTCGACCAGTACCACCAGAAATCGCCTGTTTGTGGTGCGACGTTAAATAAACTTCTACAACAACAGTTGCAGCGAAAACCACAGGGATGAAGGTTCCACGCTCGACCTCCTTGACGCGCTGTTCGTATCGCCTCCGTTTTTCACGTTCATGACGCTGGTAGCAAGCGGTGATGGAAGAGGATCGATTTGAGGGAGCAAAGGGGTTGAAAACCCGAATATCGAGAAAGACTCTCTCAAACCGACCTCCCCAAACACCACTCGCCGCAACATCAAGTCGAGCCTGGTCTTCTGTGGAGGCAGTCTTGTAGCGGAGCTGCTCACCAGAGAGCGGTTGTAAGTGTGGCTCGATAGCGACACTATTGGCGACACGTTTCAATAGCGAGGCAGTGATGTCCCGCACCTCATTGTGTCGAAGTGACGGGAAACCGTACCATTTATCGTAGCATTTCGTAGCATTTTTCAAAAAATTCATAGAACGACTTGAAGAGAGTGGCAGAATGCGCTCAAGAAGTTTTCGAGCAGTACTTTTTGAAGTTTGTTTTGACGATGTAGAGAACGAATCCATCAGTCTTTGCTGAGTGATGAGGATGAATCCTACGAAGGATATCAAGTAGCAGCTGGCCTTCGCACGGGTACCTTCAGTGTGTCCAGTATTTACGTGGGCGGCTTGTAAGAGTGAAATTAATTTTTCTTCCTAATTTAATTTTGTATTACATTTAGTTATTCACGTCGTTTCTAGGGGAATAGATAATGTTGAGTCAAGTTTTAGTCACAATGAACAACATGTTTCAGGTATGGCTGACCCGTCTCAAGATAGTAAGGCTATTCCGAATCCAGATGCTATAGTCGTCAGAGAGAAACACAAAATAAAAATTAATAAATTTTATACTGCAGGGGCAGCTATTCGCAAATGTCACTTTGACGCAAGTCTGTGTCAAGCAGGGAGTAGCACAATGGTACAATGGCACTGTGCTACTCCCTGCTACAAAGCCTGAGATGTTACGCGTTAAGGGGGAAGTTAAGGCAAAAACTAAAATTTCACCAGTTGTAGTCTTCGGGGTGCTGAGTCCAATGGTCTTGGTCCGAGAAAGCTGAGACGCTCCCTTCCTACTTGAATCCCAATCGAACTCGCGCACTTCCACCGAAAATGGGTGACTGCGCCCTACGAGATGGGGATTTGTATGCAAAATGTCACTAAAAGCGCCATTTCGTTCTTATAAAAGCACGGATGACCGCGATTGGCCCATATGTTGTAGTCTTTTGGACGCTGAATCGACTGGTTTTGGTCCGAAAAGGCTGCGATGCAGCGTTCCTCCTTTATTCCCAATCGAACATGGTTGAAGAAGCGGTCACGTGCTCCTGGGTGCCAAAATCACCTGGTCACCACGCCAGCAGGCGACAACTTTCACACCAAGGTTCAACTCGAGTGACAGGACTGCACCCAAAAAAGGTCAAAACAGGCTGTAAGTTGTACCCTGCAGGCACGGTGACCAGGTGACTGGTGTACGCAGGAGCACGTGACCGCTTCTTCAACCATGTTCGATTGGGAATTAGGGGCGAACGCTGCATCGCAGCCTTTTCGGACCAAAACCAGTCGACTCAGCGTCCAAAAGACTACAACATATGGGCCAATCGCGGTCATCCGTGCTTTTATAAGAACGAAATGGCGCTTTTAGTGACATTTTGCATACAAATCCCCATCTAGTAGGGCGCAGTCACCCAGTTTCGGTGGAAGTGCGCGAGTTCGATTGGGATTCAAGTAGGAAGGGAGCGTCTCAGCTTTCTCGGACCAAGACCATTCGACTCAGCACCCCGAAGACTACAACTGGTGAAATTTTAATTTTTGCCTTAACTTCCCCTTTAACAGGAACTGGTGTTGATGATAAAGGCAGTGTGGAATTATGTACTTCCTTCGTGTCATAAAAATTGTCGCTTCCCAGAGCGATTTTTCGAATATATATTGTCCACTCGAAGGGCAAAGAAATCAGCTAGAAATTGAGGCAGAGCATTTTCGACGGACCAAGCTTTAGTTTGTGGCCCCCCGCTTCTCTGCACTTGCAGCTAAGGTCGACGTCTTCATCAGAGTTTGAGGCAGACCCTTCAGCACTCAACAATACGCTGAACAAGACGCGCGGTCAAATTCAGGTCAAGAAACTTCGTTTTCAAGCGATCCATGCCTCCCGGTGGCAGGCGATGAAGTCAAGCTAGCATTTTTCAAGTACACTGTAACGACCTTCCAGCGGGATAGGGTAAGCAGTTTCGCACCTTCTTTCCTTGGCAAGCGCTTCGCTGATGTTGTTGGTGTTTTCAGACCTACTACCTTCGCAGTCACATGCGCCACAGGTAGCGCATTTTAGGAATTTGAGACCGCTTTGTTCTTTCCATCGTCAACTTCAGCATTTCGTATTCAGGAAAGATACCAGGATTCTTATACCCGAGCTTGCAGTATTGATATATGCCCACGCGAACGATTTGGGACGGCACAAACTCCAGAAAACGAAATGCGCTCTGGGGCGGAATAGTGCGGAGCGCGATGAATTTGCTTGGTGCGGAAGAGCGCTCCGACCAAGTTCGAGACCACCACGGCTTCAGTGACTAGTCGACATTGCGCAGGAAGGGTCGCACCAGTTTTCGAACACAGAAAACAGCGATTCCGACAGTCTGACTAAGACGAGCCAAGTCTCAAATATTGCGATGTGCGAAGCGACAATTTTAATGAAGCGGAGGAAGTACAATGTTACTGGTGCAAGTGACCATGCCGTGTAAGTCATGTATGCAGGTAATCAGACCAAGCGCAAAAGGATAAAGATAGCCTGCTTACGTACTATTCCTAGTACGTGTGCTTATTATAGATACTTTTTGTGACTACTAGTTGTATGTGTCTGCATATTACTATACGTATTAGTACGTAATTGCTTTTACTACAATTTGTACTTTGTGGGGAGCTGCGTGACGATGAACTAGATATCAGGGAGTAGTACAATACCGGTATTGTACTACTCCCTGCTATATATGGCCACCAAGAGCATACGCAATCAGAATCGTACAATACCATTACTCCTTGATTATAACCAACTAGCAGCACCCCCCGCCAGCGTTGCCTGGCCGAATGTGGCATGCGGGTGAAGCAAGTACATGAACAGCACACGTGCTCAGCACGTGGTGGTGGCCAGACCACTGAAGTCCTGGTGAGGGAGGTTCTTCATCGTTGGAAGGAGAAGGAGGGACGTCTGTTACGCCTTCGGGAGGCTGGTCAGGGTTGTCCATCACCTGGTGGCGGATGAAGCGGCTCAAAAAATTCATAAACTTACGAACAAAAGTGCAATGCGCTCTTCACTGCAGATCAGATGCAGAGTGCAGTCAGTGCAGATCTTTTGTATCCTTTTGTTGCAGATGTTTCTATTTGCAGAGAACGGTTCACGTGGTCCGCAGCGCTTGTGCGGCTGCTAGTGCTACCTATGGCCTAGGCTAGGTGGCTACATTATTATTATTATTATTATTATTATTATTATTATTATTATTATTATCAAATTTTTGATAGGGCAATCCCCACAGGCCTAAGGCCTTCTTACAGGGTACCCTACATGATTCGCACGCTTCGCGTGCTCAGTGCTTCTGCGCGCGGCTGCTACTGCTACTCGTACTGATCGTGTCTGCTACCTACACTGTTCGCACGCTTCGCGTGCTCAGCACGTGGTGGTGGCTACACGATTCGCACGCTTCGCGTGCTCAGTGCTTCTGTGGCTGCTTCCGCTAGCTACACGATTCGCACGCTTCGCGTGCTCAGTGCTTCTGCGGCCGCTAGCTACACTGTTCGCACGCTTCGCGTGCTCAGGGCAGCGCTGCTCCGCAGGATGGCCTGAGCGTAACACACACACACACACACACACGTCACAGGTGCCTCTTCTTTATAAGTAAAGATGTTACTTTTATGGCACCAATGTTACTTTCATGGCACCGTGGAATCATGTCAAACACAAAAGGATAAAGACGAATAGTTGTATGTATGCGCACGTGCGCGCGCGTGTGTGGTGTACAAGTACACGAGGGTGTGTGTAGGTGTGTGGGTGTATATTTGTGTCTACTTGTTGGTGAAGAGATTCTCATACACGATGCGCTGTTATTCGCAGCAGGCAGTGACTTCTGATGACGTGTTCTGTGCAGTAGATGGCATACCAAAAAGAGATAAGCCATGTTATATCCGACGTCCACCTTACAAATATGGTAGAACTGTGCAACTAACCTTGTCAGATGAGAGTATTTATCATCGTCTATACAAGGATGATCTTCGTCAATGGGGTGCGCTGTAGAACACGCATGAAAACAAATACAACCCCAAAACGTAGTTTCAGTATTGCTTCAGTGTCATATTTATAATCAACAATGTTGTATTGCAGAATTATACCCTTCTCACGATTGCTATTGCTCAACACGCTAGGACTGCATAAGTACACACCAACATCCCAAAAACACAATGCATTGAAACCACTTGAAACCACTCCTGCTATATAATTTGTTTACTTTTTGGGTGAGGAGCAATTGGCGTTGGGCAGGCAGACTTCGCTGCCGCACCCAAGTCGTCGCTCTTCCTCTTCTGTCCACGGGTTCTGGGGGTTAAAAAAGCAATAAAAGCAAGCAGGCCTGGCCCCATTCAGTGCTGAAAACAAGTGATCTTGAACATTATGTTCAAGTCTATACAAATAAATAAGTTTCAAAATTTTCGGAATGAGTTTTCCAAAGAGTTACATTAGCTAACACGTTGAGATGAAGTAGAATGGTAGACAAATGGGTATAGTTTCGAAATATCCCAACTTGGTGAGGTGTCCGAGTGGGTCCAAATGAGAAATTCAGGTTCGTGTTACACCATGTCAAGATGAGAAAATTCCATCACGTTACTTACCTAGGATAGCGTCCTCCATATTCGTCACTTCCATCCATTTTGGGAAGTCGAGACTTGGCAGCAGTGTGGACGATGTACCAGAGTAGCTCCCAAAAAAGGCTCGAGCTGAAAAGAACAAGTAGCAGCTTGTCACGAAGGGATACGTCTGGTCTTCTCGTCACTATTCGAAGGTTTCTAGTTCTCAGCGCTGTCAAAAGAGCAAAATTTTTTTTTTTTTTTTTTTTTAAACTTGGTAAACCGGCCTCTTGTACGGGCAGAATTTAGTAACACAGTGATTCAATAAAAACAAGTACCAGTAGTTACATACATGGACCATACGAGAAAAAGCAATGATGACGAGGCATAAACAAGTGTCTAGTGCTGTATGGCAGCTTCCCAGACAGCGAGTCGAGCGGATGACTCAGCCACCTCCGGGTGCGAATACAGCCGTCGTGCACCACGCAGGCAAGCCACGCCTGCACGGAGAAGGGCGAAGCTGAACCTGCAGCGGATCCATGCCATCACTGCAGAGTATGGCTCACCAGATTTGTCGGAGACCATTGCAGCTATTCTCTTGAGGAGAGCGGCAGCAGCTCGACCAGTACCACCAGTTGCAGCGAAAACCACAGGGATGAAGGTTCCACGCTCGACCTCCTTGACGCGCTGTTCGTATCGCCTCCGTTTTTCACGTTCATGACGCTGGTAGCAAGCGGTGATGGAAGAGGATCGATTTGAGGGAGCAAAGGGGTTGAAAACCCGAATATCGAGAAAGACTCTCTCAAACCGACCTCCCCAAACACCACTCGCCGCAACATCAAGTCGAGCCTGGTCTTCTGTGGAGGCAGTCTTGTAGCGGAGCTGCTCACCAGAGAGCGGTTGTAAGTGTGGCTCGATAGCGACACTATTGGCGACACGTTTCAATAGCGAGGCAGTGATGTCCCGCACCTCATTGTGTCGAAGTGACGGGAAACCTCCGGTGCTGCATGTCAGGGCATGGGCTACTGTGAAGCTGGCTCCACAGACACAGGTTGACGGTAAGCGAGAAGGCCGCCAGCCATAGCGCAGTGCCAAACCATCGCGGAACTCGCTTTTGGATAGCACAAATCCATGACGGGATAGCGGACGACAAGTAAGCCAGCTGGAGGCGCCAGGCTCACTTGCCAACTGAATTGTGTGCTGCAAAGTGGGCGATGCGTCGGCAGCAAAGCCACGGATGTCGGTCTTCGCTTTCTGGCGGTGATCTGCACGCTGTGACGCTTTGGCTGAGGCAACGCTGGCAAGAGCTTCCGTCACACTGAAGTCTTGGTCGAGGATGTTGGTGGTGAGCGCCGCTGTGATCGCGCGGGATGAGGCGTATTGGGTTGTTAGAGATGTTGGATTGACGATGCCCAGGCCACCATCCCGGCAAGGGAAGGCAAACAGCCGTCGCAGCTCCAGACTGACTTCTTCTCCAGTCAGGGCTGGCAGCAGCTTGGTAACAATGGCGTGTTCCAACTGATCAAGACCACTGGACGCATCCGGCAGAACACG